CACAACCTGTTCCATATCAACATTCAGTAATCATCCTATCATAGACGCCTATATATTTTCGATATTGCCTCGCTCACTCACTCATTCACTCATGGAGATGAGCCCTTTCTAGAGAAGCTGCCAATTGTGCAGATACTCAAAAACTTCCCAGCATTCTATGGAACCCGAAGGTTCATTACCGTGTTCACAAGGGCCCTCCACTGGTCCCTATCCGGAGCCAGATCAATCCAATCCACCCCATCCCATCCTATCTCTATGATCCATTTTAATATTGACCACCCACCTACGTCTAGGTCTTCCCAGTGGTCTCTTTCCATCTGGATTTCCCACCAATATCTTATATGCATTCCTCTTCGCTTCCATTTGTGCTACATGCTCTGCCCATGTCATCCTCTTTGACTTGATCATTGTAATTATGTTTGGCGAGGAGTACAAATTATGAAGCTCCTCATTATGCAGTTTTTCCAGGTTCGAGGCTTCTTATGAACTTCGCTTAGTGGAGGATGGAGTCCAGCTGGGTCCACTCGGCACGGCGGCCACTGATTCTTATGATCTTCCGTAACAAGCTAATTTTTTACGGTGAGGAGGTTATACCCCCACGCCCAACACCCAAACTGGAGGACCAACCATTGTCGGTTGTCCGCGACCGCTTATTCAGTATATTCGCAGCTGCCCTCCAAAACTGGAGGGCGTCTCCTCCATCCGCAACCTGAGGACGCGCCATGCAGTGGTTACAAGGGACCCACCTAACATACTTTCGATACTGACAGCATCGTTAAATAACCAACTTAGAAAACCTAGGAGTGGCTCGACATTCTTGACAGTGAAATTTCGCAGAACATCACGGTAGCATGGGTAGCAATCCTACTCCGTGCTGGGAAGGTGCAGAGTTCAAATCTTGGCTCAGAGACCGGCTAACCTGACTCAGGGTTTCCGTAGTTTTCCATACGAATGCCGAGATAGTGTCATACTGAGGCACAATTGCTTCCTATCATGTTCGCTCCGATTCTAATGTACTAAACGAGTCATGAAATAACTAAAACAAAGAAAATATTGACGGAGTTCCCAGTAGGTTACATATATTACATTAAATGCAAGGGTAAAACTGAGATAATAACTCCGCGGCTTTAGTCTGCAAGCGAACTATACCGACCGAGCGACCGACACTTGTCGGCGAAGTTAGTGGCCTAGTGGTCAGAGTTCCTGGCTACAGATACAGAGATCCCAGGTTCGATTCCCGGCGCTACCAGATTTTCTGAGAAGTAGTGGGTCTGGAATGGGGTCCACTCAGCCTCCTGAGGATAACTGAGGTGCTACTTGAATGGAGAAGTAGCGGCTCGGGTCTAGAAAACCGAAATTAACGGCCGTGGGGATTCGTTGCGCTGACCACGGAACACTCTTTATCCGCTAAAGTTGAGATAATAATAATAATAACAATAACAACACAAGCATAATAACAGCAGTGGATTCTGTTTGAGACATTCAAATCGTCAGCTGGGTGAGAATATAACGTGGCTCTTTACAACGTCTTGCGTAAGACTGTATGGCGTATAATACCCAAAACAGAAGGGGATATTTCCTTATTATTGTATATGGTATCAGTGGTGTAACTTGAGTTCATATTCAGCCATTGTCGGGTCAACGCCTCCATCACTGGAAGCAGAAACAGGGACTTGGCTTGGACATTCGTGCGTACGATAACCTTAGACACATGTACACTATACGTTGGGCCTCATATCTGTCCACAGACGGAAGCACCCCAATCTTAGGTTTCTTTTTAAACTATCCCTTTCATTTCACGCCACTTACAATCATAAATTTATCTGTGACACGTTTCTCTCACGCTCGGAACTGCTGGGGAATATTGAATGCCAGCAGACGCATGGATCGTGAAACTATAGACTACATACTGCTACGCTACCCGAAAATAATTCAATTTGTCACATGTTCCCTGAATTAGAAGAGAAAATTCTTAACCATGCTGGGACTCGAACACCGACTCCTCAGTCCTCCAGTTCGTAGCCAGTCGCTATATCGACTACGCTATCCCTACTCCCGGCAGTACAACAGTGAAATAAACAGATAACATATTCGTGCCGAAAACGTCGCAAAAATGTGTTTCATTATAGGCCTGATGTTTGGCGTGAAAGTCTAATACGTTTCTCCTAATAAGTTACGAAATCTAAATTATTTATCATAATTTCGGTACAACTTTTCGAATAGTACATATACCATTCTTGTATACAGGCGTATTTTACCGTAATACTTGTATGTTTCGAAGTATCAGTCCGTTATTTCCTATATTTTTGACATTTAATTGCCGTTCTCTGTTCCGAAGAGAGGACGAGAACCGTAGGGTCTCTAGCTGTGTACGTGCGTCTGTACTGCAAAAAGAGTCCCTCCGTCTGTCACACAGATTCAAGACAATGTTCGCATGCTCCGCTGTCTAGCGACACTGCAAAACGGTGAGGCTGTGCTGCTGAAAGTGAATAATAATAATACCAAAGTTTTTCTTTCTATTTTTGAAACCTTACCTCAAAGTTCTCCATGGAACGGTCTTTCCTTCGCACCATTCAGTGCCGTATTTTTTAAATATTTCTCTGAATGGCTTTAGCAATATACCAATGTCGTGGAGTCATGCAACTGTTACATTGCGTTATCTGTCATCAAATTGTCGCCATCATAGACCAACCAGTGTAATTACATTGTCTTTCCGTGACTAAGAAGCAGCCAGATTTTGCGTGTTTGTATATTTTTGTTTCACGCCTTTTCAACAGATGTTAATAACGTGTTCATTGTAAGATATTGGGAATGAAGGCAACAGTAGCTGGCGCTTGTACTCTGAACGACATTGAATACGCTAATATTACATTGTGGCATCCCGTTGAACATAATTTATTATTCAGGAAATGTCGCGGTGAATCAGTGAAATTTGTTGAATATTAAATACCACTTATCACATTTCTGACATGTGAATGTTTGGCACAAACGTTTTAGCTTGCCTTATTGTGATTTTATACTTATCTCCCAGTGATGGAACCTGTTGTCAGGTGTTTATAGGCTGTTCTCTACTGACCGGGGTTTGATCAGTGATTGAGACTAGCTTTTTCTAACGGGCCCAACTGAGTAGGTCTATTTTGCCCCATCCACCTGAGGACGAAGACAGATCCAGTCTCCGAAACGTTGTGGTTTTCTGTCATATATACCAGACGATGGATAGAGTCCAAAATAAGAAACCTTACAGTTCTGTACAGCGTACACCATCGTCAGAATCCTTTCAAGTCTATTAAATACCTTACTTCCGGATGTATGAAATGAAGGAGTTTCCTCCGAAAACTTGGGCGAATCTTATACATCGGGGTATGGGAAGTAATTGTAAAAATTAAATATGTAAATATCAAAACCACGGCCTTTTATAAACACATAATTATTTTCGTTCTACATGTTAGATGCACGTTGCTTCCTTAATAGTTGTAGCAATAGAATGGCGCCTGGAAATACAGAGGGTCGTGAAGATAGCTACCGTCTCACCCGACATATTCGATGTTCTTGATCTGAGCGTGAACTGTAGAACTGTGGGTATGGTAGCGACTTGTCAATACTTCCTCCAAGTGCCTTATTTCTCACATTTCTTCCACCTTATTTTTTTGTAATGTAATTAGAGAATAGTTTTATGGCCACGCTTAATTTATTTATTACACTCAGGATTTGTGTATATATCCACACACACACACACACACAGAGTTCACAATGGTTTCTGTAGCGTGTTCTGATGTATGGCTGTATCCCATTTCCCACGATATTATAATTTCTGTCCGCTTGTCACAATTAATTCATGCATCTTACATTGAATGTAACTTTTAGTAGAGCCTATTGTAATTGACGATATGATCTTCAAGTCATAAGAAATATTTTCTATTATCTCACATGGACATGACACACAAATGGGCATCTTACGAGATCAAGCAATACTAGGCAGAGACCAGAGGCCCAGTGAAGGGTTACTTTTGCCTACTTCCGTATTTTGTAGGCACGCTCATATACGTGTGTTTGTGTGTGTTAGTTCATAATAACTTTTGGACAATGATGGAATTTAAAAAAAAATTGGAAACATTGTGTGATTTGAGGGCTACCTGGGATAGTACTTCTAATTCTGTGCTACTGTCAGTACCAATATGAGATATGACAATTTTGAGGTGGTAATGTATTAACAAAATTTAATGTAAAAATCATTGAATTTGGCATAATGACAGATCTATGAATAATGCGCAAATTTTGTTGGTATTTTCTTTTGTAAACGTATGTAATATTGCATTATTGTAGCCACATGAAATCTGAATTTAACGGCCCGTCTGGTGACATAACTAGTGAACCACCGAATCTAGGTATATGCAGTTTTTTTTAGAGATAGACTGTAAATAAACTAACGCCTGATAACTCTCGAGTCGTGGGAATTTATATTAAGCAAACTGTTCACAAAAAAATAATTATTAATTCATACGGCTTGACTGTTCCTTTGTAATTTTTGCCCTGCCCTTTGTGCACAGAAGGGAGCTAATGTTATTAGCTATTAGCTAATATTAACTTCTTGGGGTGCACGCGGTAGCGTAGTTGGTTGAGGCCCTATGCTACAAGCCGGAAGGTTGCGGGTTCAAATCCCGATGAGGTAATTTGATTTTTTCAGTTGACCTAATCCTTCCGGCCGCACTATGGCCCTGGGCTCGACTCAGCCTCTAACAGAAATGAGTACCAGGAATTAATTAAATGATTTTCCTGGGGAGTAAAGCGCGGCCAGCGCGTAAGGCTGACAACCTTACCGCCATCTTTGAGCCGATTGTCTAGATAACGTGGGACCCTCGACGTCTCACAACTCTATGGGCCTTCGCGGCCTGTTACAGGGACAGCTTTACTTTTTTTTTACTTTCTGTAAAATTCTTCTTGCCGTCTTTGAATGAAAGGAAATAAAACAGGACCGTAACATGAAAATGTCTTGTTTACAGGGATGGAAGTGACATGTTCAGTAGTTTGCAGCTCCTGCGGCTCGAACTGGAGTTGCGACCCACCTTGGGGCGACCTATGGCCCCACTGAGATGTATTCAGCAAGACATTCATCAGCAGCGGGCAGTCTGCTGCAACAGACTTCCGCATCACCATTATCACCATCACCACCACCACCTCCATCAAGGTATTGTTCTTTTATATATATATTTACTAGCAATCAGAATTAAACACATTCTTTAAGCTAATTTGCTAATTTAAACACGGCCCTCGTGTGCTTATTGTATCGTGATGAGGGCTCCTCCAATGAGAGATCCTCTTCAACCATCAAGTAGATCTGCTGGCCATAATTCTTTAGCCTTCTTCGTTGTTGTTGTTCCCATAGGGGCTGCAGTAATGTATTGCTATGGTGCCCTAGTTTATCGTGATGTTTTATGCTTTTTTCTTGGATGACTTCTTTGATGAATGGTACATTGAGATCGTCATGTAGGGTCTGATTAGTCACATACCAAGGTGCATTTGTGATCATCCGCAGTATTTTGGACTGCCTTCGTTGCATTACGGCTATGTTTGATTTACTAGCGCATCCCCATAGTTCGATTGCATAGGTCCAAATAGGCTTTATGGTTGTCTTGTTNTGCGAGGCAGTTGCTGGATCATCATGGCTGGCAAGAATGACCGTGTCATCAGCAAATGTCCCTGTTGTAGTGTAAGTAGTCGTTGGTAGATCTGTTGTGAATAGCACGTATAATATCGGGCCTAAAACGCTCCCTTGTGGGACTCCAGATTGGATGGTGAAGTTGCTGGATACCTCCTCGTTAACTCGTGTTCGGAATTCTCGGTCAGACAGATATGACTTGAGTATTCTAAAGTATTTTATAGGGAGCACCTTTTTGATCTTGAATAGGAGTCCATCAAGCCAAACCTTATCAAAGGCTTGGCTTACGTCTATAAATATTGACATGCAGTACTGTTTGTCTTCTAATGCTTAGTTTATTTTATGGATGATTCTGTGTGTTTGTTGTATTGTAGAGTGATGATTCCTAAATCTGAATGGATGTGGAATTGATGTGGAGGCATCCATTCATCTGACTTTAGGTCCATATTTAGTCTCCGACTAACCGCTTGAGCTTTGGCGCGGCCCTCCCAGAAGATAAGTTTCCTATTCATCACCGTAAGAACAAGAAATCTCATAAAACCATGACTGCTTCATATGCGAGCATTGCCTATTGGTAACATCTTTTCAGCAGAGGATGGGATCCAAAATTGTAGTACCGAAAATCTGGTTGACACCCTAAGGTTGGCCACTCCAGCTATGACGTAGCAATGCAATATTTGCAGGAGAGAGGCGAAAACAAACAAACTCCGTGGATTTAGTCCTCAAGCGAACTATACCGACCGAGCCACCGCCGCTTGTCGGCGAAGTTAGTGCCAACTTTAGTGGATACAGGGTGTCGAGTGGTCAGTGCGATGAATCCCCACGGCCGTTAATTTCGGCTTTCTAGACCTGAGCCGTTATTTTCTTGAAATAGCTCCACAGTTATCCTGATGAAGCTGGGTGAACCCCGATCCAGACCCATTATTTCTCAGAAAATCTGGTAGCGCCAGGACTGGAACTCGGGTCTCTGGATCTGTAGCCAGGAACTCTGACCACTAGACCACAGAGGCGGTCAGGAGAGATGTGAATGCATTCCTCAATAATGTGGCCTCAAGTGGCCTACTGTATCAGTCCTCGGTGATAGTTGATAATCGAACTCGATGAAATTATAGGAACAAAAGCCTGCCCCACTGAAACTCTGTCCACCACAAAACCTACGTGGACCGGTCGTCCGAGGTGAAAGCCGACCGACGACTAGCTGCGTGAAATATGTCACAGCTAATAATCATTCTAACATACCGATAAGAGTTTCCTCAAGGCAGGTACTAAACAGTCTAGCACTCCAGCACGTACAAGCGCCACCTATTTTTGTCAAGCCCGTTTCTTAACCTCCCCCGACGCGGAAGAGACACAGATGCACCCAACGGCAGGAGCAATGTGCGGGGTTATGCGGAAGACGACGCGAAGCGCGACGCTACTGAAGTCATACACAAGGAATTCGTACGAGACAGGGGAAGGAGAACAGATATCGATTGAGGCCCAAGTGTGGGCCAATGAACTGACATCGGTCACAAGACAAGTTTTTATATTTCCCTAAACACAACAAAGATTAAGGGAGTGGGGGTACACAACCCATCGTCCTATAGGGAGCAGTGACTTATAAACGGTATCTCTGTAACCCATGGTGAAAACAATACATGTCAACGGCTATCTTACAGAGTCAAATGAAGAGATGGAGCAAATGTGTCACTAAGTTGACAGTAAAATACTGTTTGCCTTTCTCCCGTGTTTCACTGATCTGGTTTGTTTCAAAATTAATTATAAAAACTCAAATACTTGCACGTATTTTGGTAGGACTCCTTTGGCAGCCTCATTGCAAGGTCGCTATGTTCGCAGAAGAGGAAAACGAAGGATTAAACCTGTGCCCTACGCGAGATTAGAACCAGCAATTCCAGCGTTTGAGCACCGTACGTGGCACGACTCGCGGCAACTGATCATTGTCTCATCCTTACAATTACTCCCAAAGACGTTTAACGGTTATTATCCTTTGCTGCAGAAAAAAGCATGTGAAGAAATTATGTCTACGTTCTTGTGTGTGTGTGTGGGGGGGGGGCGGTTCTGTTCACTGCCTGCATTTCCTTTGCAGCATACATTATAATGGCCATTATTCATATATTGTGTGTAGTATGAATTTTATTTCAGCTTGCAAACATTTTGGGAGGGGTTCGGAGAAGAGCGCGAATCGAAAATTTCCCCGTTTTGACAGTATGTAGTTAAAAATTTTGACCTTGTCGCTACAGTATTTACTTTACAGAGACTGTATTCCTTTGCGCATTTTTCGCCTTTCTCTTAGGAAATCACTGTGCCTTTCAATACTACTCGTAGCTAACTAACTAATTCCATGGAGCTGAGCTCCTTGAGAAGTCAACAGTTGCTCACCTATTCAAGAATTTCACAAATGCCCCCCGTTGGTCCCTAACCTGAGCCAATCAATCCAGTCCATACGACCCCATCCTATCTCTCAAAGATCCGTTTTATTATTATCCTCCCACCTAAGTCAAGGTCTTCCTAGTGGTCTTTTTACTTCTGGATTCCCAATCAAAATTATATATGCATTCCTATTCTCCCTATTCGTGCTGTATACCCTGCTCATCTCAGTATCATTGACTTGATCATTCTAATTCCGTATTTCAGCATCCTGTTGCACAAACGTCTATGTATCACAGTTAGGGCACGCGGTAGCGTAGGTGGTTGAGGCACTATGCTACGAGCCGGAAGGTCGCGGGATCGAATCCCGATGAGGTGGAATTTTTTCAATTTACCTAATCTTTCCAGCCGCACTATGGCTCTGGGGTCGACTCAGCCTCTAACAGAAATGAGTACCAGGAATACTCTTGGGGGTAAAGGGTGGCAGGCGCGTAAGGCTGACAACCTTACAGCCATCTGTGAGCCGATTGTCTAGAAAATGTGAGAGCCTCAACATCTCACAGCCCTATGGGCCTCCACGGTCTGTTACAGGGATACCTTTACTTTTTACTTACTTATGTATCACAGTCCGTCAATAAGGTAACAACCACCTGAACACCTGAAGATGGCCATCTATGGCCGAAACATGTGTTAAGCGTTAAATGGTGAATATTTTAATAATTGTTGCATTATTGACGGACTGTGATACATAGACGTGTGATCATTCTAATTATACTTGAAGAGAATGAGAAGTTATGATGCTCCTCGTTATGTATATTTCTTTTCCACCCTCATACCACTTATTCCGTCTTCGGTCCAAATATTTTCCTCAATACCCTCAGTCTACAATATTTCTCCCTTAATGTTAAGAGACTAAGTTTCACATCCATACAAAACAACTTTTTACTAAGGGTTTTTATTGTAAAGAATTGTATATTTGTAATTATACAGTAGGTGCAAAAGAATTAATTATTATAGGAAACATGATTCGTCTTTGTATTGCATTTTCTTTTCAGTCATAAAAATTCAAAAAGTAATACCTAGTCCAATTATAGGCCTGCATTTTACAATTTTATATGCTTTAGTTACATTTGGTAGGCCTAAATCTTTATGTACTGTATGAGTAAGATGGGAGGGATACGCACTGCATAAGTCTTTATCGGAAAAAACTGAAAGTTTCAGATCACTTGGAAGATCTAGGTGTAGATGGGAGGATAATATTAAAATGGATCTAAAAAAAAGTCGGATGTGACGGTGTGAACTGGATTCATTCGGCTCAAAATAGGGACCGGTAGGGTGAGAGAATGTGAACCGTGTTCATTTGGTTCCGATCAAGGTCCTATTGTAGGCCGCGCCATAGCTCAAGCGGTTAGTCACTGGCTTCCCACCGCGGCGGCCCGGGTTCGATCCCGGGTCTGGTCAAGGGAGATTTGTGGTGGACAAAGTGGCGCTGGGGCAGGTTTTCTCCGAGTACTTCGGTTTCCCCTGCCAATCTTCATTCCACCTATTGCTCCACAATCACCCTCACCTCTCATCTGGGGTTAGGCCGGAAGTGGCCGCAGTACAAGGGACTTAGTCCCACCCCACTAGCAATAAAAAAAAAGGTCCTATTATGAGTTCTTGTGAATACAATAACAGATCTTCAAGTTCCAAAATGTGGGGAATTTGACTTGCAGATCAACTCTTGACTCCTCGTGAAGGGTTGTCCTGCATGAGTTAGTTCATTGCCTTCAACCCTCGTCGTATTACATGTTAGTTTACGGCAGTCATTTACTGTCAGACCCCTTTGAACAACTGTGTAACTTGTAAAAGCTGTAACTGATACGGAAAGTGACGTCCCACATTGGTACCTTCAGAAGAACTTACATTACAGAAAGAAACAATCTCATCTCTCCCGGTTGCTGCTTCTTTTGATATTTCCAAAACCATCTCAGTTGAACTTTGTGGCCAGCTCGCACTTTCCACCAAGCAGACTCAGATCCGAGGATAAACAGTAGTGTTGAGTCCGCATAAAGTTCGTAGCTGACATTTGAGATATGAAATGTAAACCAGCTGCAGGTCTACTCGTACTTACGTGAAGCCTCCTCACTATATGAACGACTGCAGTGTTTCCTGACGTCTGGCCTAGAGATCGGTATTACAGTATCAGACATCTTAACGATCCCACAAGAAAGGACACATATAACAACGCGTTTAATGAATGTCGCAGCACCAGTAATATTAAAAGGCTAGAATTTCGTTAAATACAGTATAAACAATCTCAGACTTATTTTGTGAAACACGTGAAACACGAGCTGAAGCCTGCGGCTCTAGACACTGTTGCCAACATGACCATTATTTTAACATAGTTCATGTTCTTGTTTAGTTATTTAATATCAACAGACTTTCATTTTGTTTAATTTATTTATGAAATAAATAAAAATTGTAACACTGCAGTTTATTCAACAAATAATAATGACCGCGTGCATTAGAATTAATAAGATTCATATTGTGTGATGTTACTAAACAACAGGTTCTGACACTGGATTTAGGACTGATCATTTATTGGCTCGAGACTTGAGCCGCGGAAGACGAACAGATGTACACAAAATTGCAGAGATATTCAGATGGCCTATTTTCGTACAAGACGTCGAAAGTGTTTCGAATTTAAGGGGGCAGAGGGCGGACACAGAGTAATTCAACATTGTAAATGTGTCAGTTAATTGATCGTAGGTTCAACTCAATAAAATCCAAGTATTAAAATATGCAACGTGCATATTCCGTCAGATGCTTTTTATTGAGTAAATTTTTAGAGATAAACGGTAACAATGGCATGTTCATAATGATCTTAAGTTGTTTAAAAGCGTTTTTCAGCTCTACTGGTTATATTATTTTCGAATGAGCGGAGTAGATGATTATGAATGTTGAGTAAATGATTTGGAGGAAAGCGTTATAGTTTATTGGAAGGTATTGTAGTAGCATGGGTACGCGGTAGCGTAGTTGGTTGAGGCACTATGCTACAGACCGGAAGGTCGTGGGTTCAAATCGCGGTGAGGTCATTGGTTTTTTTTTTTTCAATTGACCTCATCCTTCGAGCCGCACTATAGCCCTGGGGTCGACTCAGCCTCTGACACAAATGAATAACAGGAATTAATTAAATAATTTTCTTGGGGAGTAAAGCGCGGCCTGTTACAGGGATAGCTTTACTTTTTTTTCTGTAGTAGCATGCTTTTGGAAAAGCTGAAAAGGCCACGAAATATGTAATTCTAGAGCGCAACGCTACACCACCTCCCCTAGTAGAAGGAGAGTGACCAGTAGCAGTCAGACCCCTCCTATTGTCGAAGAGGAGGCCCCATTTTAAACACATAGAAGCCTTGGAAAGAACCTAAAGAGACCGCGCTGGCGAGGACAGCAGCAAATTATGCGACAGACCGACACCAACTTGCTTTAAGGGAAACTTGTTGGAGGACTACCCTTCTTGTGCCCTCATCACCCGAAGTCTCTGATTCTCACAATCCACGTTTCTCGTTTCCTAGTTACTTACAACGTGTGGCAGAATTCTAGCATTTTGTAATGACAGTTGACACATCAAACTTCTCGAAATTAAATTAATAAAAACAAATAAATTCCGTGGCTTAGTCCGCAAGCGAACTGTATCGACCGAGCGACCGCCGCTTGTCGGCGAAATTAGTGCCAACTTTTGAATTAATACCCGATAAACTTCCAGGAATATTTGCTACCATTCTGCTCAGAAAATTTCGTCTTCCCATCGCCCATTTAAAAACAAAAGTTTTATTGTACATGAATTCGAGATATCTGTGAACATCAAGTATAAAATAATATTTGAACCAGAGGGGGAGGAAGTGACCAGAGGCTGAACAAATTCCACAGTGAGGAGCTTCGTAATTTGTACCGGTCATCACATATTATTAAGACGAACAAATAGAGGAGGATGAGAGGGGCAGGGCATGGGAAAAATGAGAAATGCATGCAAAATTTTAGTTGGAAAATCTGGGAGACCTAATTGTAGATGACAGGTTAATACCAAAATGGATTTTATGAGAAGCAGGGCGAGGGTATGGACTATATTAATGTCGTTCGGAATAGGATGCAATGATGGCATCTTCTGAGCAATGTTATGAATTTTCAAGATCTGCTAGGCCAGTACTGCGGTATAGTATTGCACTAGAATAATATGATTCAGACCGACTGTGTATAGTCTGGATACTGAAACAGCATCGTTAAATAACTCATGGAAAAGGAAAACACGGTTTATTAGTTCCAGTTTCATAACAACGCTGAGGTATGATACATGTATCCCACCAATAGTGCTGATCTTGAATTTTCGTTTTGTAACGTCTTTGATAATTACACAACTTTTCTTTTTCGGCACATTTTATGCAAAACAGCAGCAAGGCAAGCATGTGAAATACATACCGGTATTTCCTGTTCTGTTTAATGACAACTGATGAGCTAGTGTACGATGCAGGACTTCCCGCAAGTCGTTGATCTGTTCTGGCGGAAGAGTCGGACGTATCTCCCGTCTAGTCAAACAGCGGAGATTCGGACTATTTGGGGAAGCCATTAATCTACAGTCTAAATACATTATAAATGAAACTTACCAAGACGGCAGAACACGATGTAACTGCTTTCTGTTATTAAGCATGCATTCCTGGCACCTCTGAAAAATTTCTCCGGAAGTAAATTAAATTTCAAGGAACTGGAAACCCCTGCCTCCTGTGTAAGGCGTCTGAAGGATTTTCGAGGAGGGTTTTTAAGTCCAACTCCAATTTTATTCAGTTTCTATTCGACGAATACTCGGCGTTAAGATTCGACCCTATTTCAGACGAACTTCAACACATGAATGCCAACTTTACATCAATGCCAGGACTGCGTGTGGAAGAATGGAGAGCTTTTCCAGAATATTCTATAGCGGATAAGTTTTCTGGGTACATTTTATTTGTAATGTGTTTAAGGCTGTAGGATCTGGCTTCAGCTTGTAGTTAGTACCACCATGGCCTAATATGAAGAGAGCTGCGTGCGAGTCTTCCGCCTCAACGCCTCGACTACTCGCGGGAAAGCCCCAAATTGTCGCACTGTAGCTAAGCAAATCAAATTTAGTACAGTGATTGCTTGGGAGCCGGGATAACGTAGTCGGTATAGCGACTGACTATGGGATGGACGACCGAGGGGTTAGAGTTCGAGTCCCGGTAGGGTCAATAATTGTCTGTTCTCCACAGCGTCCAGACCGGCTCTTGGGCCCACCCAGTCTCCTATCCAATGGGTACCGTGGGCTTTTTCTCCCCGGCTGGAGGGGGACGGCAAGGGCTTGAAACTGACCACTCACCTCAAACTACTGCCTAGGTCTACAAAATATAGATATATACACTCACTCCCCCATACGCCTTTATGGCGGAGTGTTTAATTAGTTAAGCACAGGGACAAGTTTACTTTTACAGTGATTGCTTGGGGGCCGGGATAGCTTGGTTGGTATAGCGATGGGGTAGGGGCTGGACCACCGATGTTTGATTCCCAAAAGGGGTAAAATATTTTTCTTTACTCCATAGCTTCCAGACCGGCTCTGGGGTTCACCCCAGATCGTCCTAACCAATGGATACCGGAAGCTCTTTCCTGGGGAATAAAGTAGCCGGAGCATGAAGCTAACCACTGACTTCTATCGATTGCCGAGGTCGAGAATGGAGGTGCTATACTTCCACTTCCACATTCTTCTTCGTGACGTCGTGCATAACCTTACTTTCTTTTACTTTAGAGCAATTGTTTATAAACATATGCACAAATTTTCGTGAATTGTACTTTTTGTATTGAATACCATGAACATGCCACTGTTTTTTTTTAATTCGCATAGTGGGGGGTGGAGTCCAGTTGGGTCCACTCGGCACGGCGGCCACTGATTGGCCTATTGTAGCCTGCCCTGGGTGATTATGATGATGGAGAATTTGGTGGAATGAAGATTGGAAGGGGAAACCTAAGTACTCGGAGAAAACCCGTCCCAGCGCCACTTTGTCCACCATAAATCCCACTTGACCAGACCCGGGATCGAACCCGGGTCGCCGCGGTGGGAAGCCAGCGACTAACCACTTGAGCTATGGCGCGGCCCTGCCACTGGTTTTACTTTCAGCATACATATACACGTATATGTTCATTTTCAAGTGCTTAAGATCTAGCTGTAATATTTGAATAGTTAAATTCCACCACTGATGTCTGTGATAACTCCAATAATTTTGACATTTTCTGCTCCTTTTTTCAGATCAGAGAGGTAGCAATTCAGTATTACAAGAATGTTTGTCGTGTGAGAATGTTCCAATGATTGATGACCTTCTCATCACAGCAAATACCGACATTTCAAGCATGAAATCTCATCAGGTAATACAGTAACAATAATACTACTTAGGAATAGTATTATATAAAAAGTGATTTATTTATACACTTGGTAATCGGCTTACGACCGACTTCCGTTCTGACTGACAGGTAGTAAGTCGATCTGGTCGCATGTCGGCCATATATTTATTAACAGTATTTTTTTAACCTTTCTAATCTTTTTATCATCTTTATAATTTATTTTTAAAAACTTTTACATTTTAATCATCTTTTATTTTTTATTTTTCTGTGGTCGTGAGTCGACGACCAAGTGTATGTACTGTCACCATACAACTATGTAACTTACTTGTTCATAATATAGGTGTTAAATATTTGAAGAACACTGTCATCTTGTATGTGACGCCATACAGTGGGGCAGAAATCTATTAATGTTTTGGAGGAACGTTCTGCTTCCTTCTTCAGGGTTCAGAGAGTAAACCAAGCAATCAGTAAGCAGAGTAGCTAGCTGCATTTTTGGTTTACTCTTCAACCTTGAACATGGTGGCAGTACATTCCTCCGAAACTTGGATAAACTTCTACCAGACAGCACAGGGTCACATTTCAGAAAACAGTACTCTCTGTAGTCACTGTTATAAGAACCTCAAATCTGACATGTTACAAACATTTATTTGGCTACATGTTTCTGCATTACTCAGTGTACGTTATTAATTTGCTGTAATTGTTTGTGAGAAACATATCCAAAGCTTGCTGACAACCAGAATTAGAGGTCAAATCATATAGACAAATCATATTTACTTACCTACATTTTATGTAATTGGTTTCAATATACATTACGATAGTTGTGTAGTCGTATGTTGACAGTGGCACTGTATGTGTGTGTGTGTGTGTTTGTTCAGTATGTAGGATGATTATCTTTTGGGCTGGATAACCAGAGAATTTGAGTCTGATCTTCAGCAGGGATAGAATTTCTTCTCAACCACTCTGTACAAACCAATTGTGGGTCATATAAATTGGGTACAGGGGAGTCTTACTTCGATGCTTGAGTGACCTGAGCATGGAGATCACCACTCACCTCTTTCTAATGCCAAGGTTAAGAATGCATGAAGCTACTATACCTCCACCCCCCCATGTTATCATGGCATGGTTCAAATTATGCAACGGGATAGTTAGTTAGTTATTGGAGAGGGTGGGTATCCCCATGCAATTAGACAAGTATTGGTCCATTGTGCTTCCCTCTATGATATTCTACCAGTCTCTATACCATACCGATATTGGTGCGTACCATCAGTCCCAACCGAGCCAGCGAGTTCGGCCTCTACTGGCTTGGCGGTATCTATAATGCTTCCCCCATCTATCAGAGGCGTTAGAGACTACTGTTGGACGGGAAATGTCCTTGAATTTGGCTCAGTGACCTCCTTTGGAAATATGAGGTTCTTTTACGTGCCGTAAAGCTACGACACGGGACCCACGGCTTAAATGCAAATGGATAACTTTCTTTTCACTTTTATATAGTATCATAACATAGTGATCAGTTATATTATTCCATAGACAATACTTGAAAGCATTTTATACGTTATAGTCTAGTGTGGTCTGCAGATCCCTAGGGGCCCATGAGGTTATTTTTGTCTGCCTGTTATTATTTTGTCATTAAATGACAATACAATGTAACCGGTATTAAATATTTTGTAAATATGTTATTAGCATTAAAATATTTTAAATAAATAATTTTATTCAAATCTGTTTGAAGATGATATGCAGATAATTTAGACATGGAGGGGTGAGGGTCCATGAGTGTGCAGTAGTTCCTAGGGGTTCCGCAGATTCAAAAAATTTCAGAACAAATGCATTATACCATTGAATTGTAATTTAAGTGACAACATAGAGTTGATTTTAAAGTACAGGGTGTTCCTAAAAGAATGGTGGGATTTCATTGCTGTATATCTCTGTCAGTTTTTGCTGATGAAAAGCAAAACGTATATGGATTCATAACATGGCTCTCAAATTTTCATTTTGTATATCACACTCTTTCCTAGTTCCATTTCCGACAGTTAGGCAAACGATGGATTCGACGTGCTGCAGGTGAAGATGCCCTCTTTCTCCAGTGGCCACCCTGGTCCCCGGGCATAACTCCATGTGATTTCTTCTTGTGGGGCTATGTGAAGGACATGGTTTATGTACTCCCATTGTCCCAATCACTCTAGGATCTCCGAAACAATCAATCGTGCTATGGAGACCATCATATCTGAAATTCTGCAGCAGGTGTGGCAGGAATTGAACTATCGCATTGAAATGTGCCGGGTAATGAAAGGTGTGCACACAGAGGCACTTTGATGGATGCACATAAAATTTGGACAGTTAAGCTTCTGATTGACTCAT